CCAATTTTGGTGAGTGCCAAAAATCGCATTTTGGATGCGCCGCCACTAACATTTGCAGCGCTCAAGCTCGAGGGCCTTAGGTCGCCCCAGAAGCCATTCCCTCTGATTCTCTTCAATCAGCCCGAAGATGTCGAACTATGCAAGCGTATGAGCGATAAAGACATTGGCGGCTTCTCTTCTGCAAACTTGGACTTCCACCCTCCTGTGAAGAACGAACCCCCTCATGTCCGCTTTCACGGCTCCATATCTACACAACTGCCACACAACCAACCGCACATTCAGAGGACCGGATACGCCGGGTGGAGGACACTGGACCGTGGCTCGACCATCTTCGGCAAGTCGCTGTGGGATGTGAGCATGTATAGTTTCCTCGCCATCCAATTCAAGTCAGATGGGCGCAAGTACTTTGTAAACGTCCAGACAGAATCCATTGTCCCCACCGATATTCACCAGCACTTGCTGCACTCCAAGACACCTGGAGAGTGGGAAACAATCTTGATCAAATGGAACGAGTTTGTGCGGACAAATCACGGCCAGGTTGTAGAGCCTCAGAGAGAGATGTTGACGCAAAAGGTGCGCACAGTAGGCATATCGCTGATAGATCGGATACCAGGGCCGTACGATCTGAGTATCAGCAAGATCTGGGCAACAAATGCGACAGATGAGGACGAGTTCTTGAAGGCTGCTCCGGTCCCGACGTTGCAATCTAGTGAAGATGATCTGAAGAGTGTCAGGAAGGATTCTGGAGTTAGCAACTCTTCGCGTCAGACGATTACATAAATATATATAATATTAAATTGTTGTAATTGACTCTAAATATTTCTTTGCTGCGCTCACTCTTGCATTTTCACTGTTCCTTGACGAATTACAACGCTTAATACTATTGTGTTGATGTAGGATGCGTGGCACTGCCTATGCGGAGCCCATTGCTTCGCGACAGGTACGCGCCTGCGCGCTCGGTTGCTGGTTACTGGGCCGATCCATCAACATCACCTTCACCAAATAGGGCTCAACTTGAGAACCGCACAATCGACAAGAAGACTGCTAGCCACATCGCCAGTACACAATGCACAGTTTGCACAGAGGAATATCGTGAAAAGTACCCTGGAGGCAATAGTCCGAGGACCACAACATCTCTTGCTTTGTTTATTGTAGCTACCTACAACAAATCTAGAAGCGACAAGAATGACGATACCTCGCTACCTTACGGCGCAGAAGATCAGTCTTCTTGTTTTGACTCGTCTCTACTGCAATTTTCCCCTCCCATCTTCCGCGACAATACCTATTCTCTCCTTCATCCTGTCAGACAGCCTGCCTTCAACACCATCTAGCGCACGGCCACAGCCCTCTACCTCAATCCAACAGGATGCATCTTTCTCGATCGATGCATTCGAAGATGTGCTTCAAGGACATGCATCAAGCATGCCGGGCCGGACCCTGCTCGACCTGTTTCTTAAGCAAATGTGGGAAATAAATTCCTTCGATGCGCTGCATGCTCTCTTTGACAGTATTCTGGAGATCATTACGGCGCCGCAACCATCAAACCAAGAGGAAGAGATACCAGACCGCACCTATCTATCCAAAACATCACCCCTGGGTGCATTTGTTCGTAGAGCACATTTGGAGTTTACAAGACTGCAATTCGACGATTCAATGAAACTCTGGTCATCATTCATCAAATACAGGGCTCCAACAGCGCAATGGACCAAGCGGCTTGCTGGCCTAGCTTCAAGTGGTGTCGATGTAGTCGCTTCCGAAATGGGCTTAAGAGCTGGGGATGATGTATATGAGATTGCATACGGCCACCTGGAGGACCAGGAAGAGCAGCCCGCAGATACAAGCCTGGACGACCTGGATCGGATACTCGACTTCCAACTTGATCGACTGCAAAAGTTTGGAGATCGCGTTCCAGATGAAATGAAAAGTCGGTTACGCAGCATGGTGAGCCCGTCAGGACAGGTACATCGCCAGGCGCATTTGGTGCACTTTTTCGATGCCTGGAAGGCGGGAGACTACACATCCGCATTTGACAACCTGCATCGCTACTATGACTATGCCATGCAAACACGCGAGAAGATTCACTACCAGTATGCCCTGCTACACATGGCTATTCTGCAGGCCGATTTCGGCTGCTTCGGCGAGGCCATAGCTGCTATCAACGAGACCATTGCAACAGCTCGTGAAAACCAGGACATGACTTGTTTGAGCTTTAGTCTTAGCTGGTTGAACCATATGGCTAAAGCATACCCAAAGCAGATGAGAGGTGCAGGATACATGAGTATGCTTGGAAGCGAACGAGATGCATTGGCGTTCCTTAAGGCCAAAGCAAAGGATGCTAAAATGTATAATCTGCTCAGCGCAAGTCTGCTCAACGAAGCAAAGCTTTCTCTCGCAACCGTACGTTATGCTTCGGTCACTTAATCGGGCACAATGCTAACATCCCACCAGGGCGATTCCATCCCACGAGCGCTGGAACACATCTACCAGTCCTCCCACCTCAACATCAAAGAGAATGTAAACAGCTATGGCGGTCAAATGCTTCTCATAGCAACGCTCTACAACCGCCTCGGCATACCACATCTATCTAACGTGCATTGTGAGCTCCTTCTCGACTGCTACTCGCACTCATGTCCCGTTGAGGAGCGTCTCCGTGCCATTGGGCGAAGAGCCTTTGTCATCAATCAGAACGGTAACTACGACGAAGCGATAACTATCCTCGAATCCGTCGATACATCAGTACACAAGTCTCTCAAGTTCAATCAGTTCCTCGTTCTATGTATTGGCCTCATCAAGCTGAGAAAAGCTATCCGAAGGTACTTGATTCACATCGCAATCCAAATGACGAATACTAATCTATTTTGAACAGATCCGACTGGCCAACAGCCACGCACCTCCTCGAAACACTCAAACCTACCAATTCCCCGTCCACACCTCCTCTTGACCCGGAATTGTCGTTCGTCCAGCACGACACTTATATCAACTATCTCGTCTCGACAGCTCAATTCCCACTTGCGTACCAATGCATTTCGGCCCTTTCCCAGTCCCTCAAAGAAGATAATGCCGATATACAGCAACGCATTTCGGTACTGCTCATGCAGGCAGATCTCTGGATCAAAGTGGGGAAACCGGAGAGGGGGTTCAGTGTGGCCCTCCGGGCAGCGAGTGTGAGTTTCAGGGCTCGTTTGGGATTCACGCTCTGGTGTGCAGTCGGTTGTTTGGGTGCAATCTTGAATTCGCTGGGTGAGTATCGAGAGGCGAAGAGGTTGGTGGAGGGTGTGCTTCCTCAGGTACGTATTTACATCCCTTTGTTCCCGTGGCTGAGAGGTAGACCGATGATGCTAATATCTTGTGAAACAGGCTCTAGAAGGCGGAGACAAAATGCTCATCGGGACCCTGTACTCGCACTTATCAGATTCCTACATGGGTCTTGCTAATCCCAATCTCCCACCTACAACTACTACTACTACTACGGCCTCGAACCCACCCCAAACACCTATCACAACCACAGCACCAATGCACCGCTCCCGTTCAACCAACGTCGCCAAAGCAGAACTCTACACTGACCGTGCACGAGATAGTTTCCGGAAAGCGGGGTACCTAGATGGCGAATGCGAGCAGCTGATGAAGAAGGCGATCATCGCCAAACTGCGGGGCGACGAAAAAGTAGCAGAGGAATGGGCAATGAGGCACAATAGCGTTTGGGAGGAAGGACTTGCGGGACTAGAAGGCTAAGTCCGTATAAGAGATATATATAAACAACGGCAATGCGAATCATTGAGGACGTTTGCCGCACACACAAAGTCAAGTTGCAGATACAAAAGGGAAAAAATGCATTTGCTGATCTACCGTCTCTCTCAGCATGCTTGCTCTCGTCGTACTATGTACACACATTCAGCCCTGGCGGTTTGCTCTCTAGATAAGGGGGTTTAGGCTTGAGAATGGCATATATGACATCACTTGTATAGAAGCGGTGACGTGCAAAGCGCTTACTCGTCCTTCTTGTGGTAGTTAACCTTGTCGTTCCAGAAAAGGGTCTGTTTGTGTGGTCAGATATAAGGCTTTGGGGTGTATGTATGTGTATATTTGGGAATATACCTTGTCACCGTCTCCCCAGAAGTAGTTCTTGGTGCGAATGTTCTGGTAGGGGTACTCGGGCCTCTCAGAGCGGGGGTGCTCGTGCTCCTCGTGGGCTACGTGCTCCCAGTGGGCATCCCACCTCACCTTTGCGTTGACGCTGGCGACGATGATGCAGGGGACGGCGACGCTGTGGAGATGGTTAGTGACCATTTCGAGGGGGAAACAGCATTATATCTTTTCCGTCTTTTTTGAGGCTGCCGTAATTCACACCAGACACCAATTCTCGCCTCTTCCGTATTCTATTTGCTTGTCCTCAATTCCACAATCATCTGATTGTCCCTTCCTCATCCTCATCGTCATTCCCCCTCTTTCCCCAGAAAAGTAGCCGAGCAACTTACTAGAGCGAAAGCTTGCGCCAGAACTCGCCAGACTCGCCGGCATGCTGCTCAATGTGAGCACGCTCACGGTTGAACTCGTTGTCCTCGGCACCGGCAAATTGCTTGGGGCTCTCGGAGCTGTAGTTGCGGCGGCCGGCGCGGGCAGGAGCGCGGGCAATGGCCTGGCGCGGAGCGGCGCGGGCGAAAGAGCGGGCGGCGAACATGGCGACGGTTTGGGGTGGAGTGGAGATGGGGGGTGGTCGCAATTGGTGTGGGCGTAGGCGTGGGCAGTGAGGTTGTGACAGAGGAGCCAGCTCCGAATTGACGAAACAGGGCTTGGCACGCGCAACTCAGATGGGCTGATGCGGAGTTTGCCGACCCCGACGGGTAATGTGACGTCGTGCACTGGTCGCGTTGGCGCGTCTTGCCTCTTCACGCGAGCAGCTTCATTTGCTGAGGCATCGACGAGGGAGCAGGACGATGAAGAAGCTTGGATATATACATGCCTGTCGTCGTCCTCCGTAAATTGCTTCCACACATACCACCATGGTTCGCATCACCACATGGAATGTCAACGGCATTCGCAACCCGTTTGGGTACAAGCCATGGAGCACGAATCGCACATTCAATGCCATGTTCGATATATTGGAGACCGATATTGTAATTATGCAAGAGCTGAAGATCCAGCGCAAGGACCTGACGGATGATATGGTCCTTGTACAAGGCTGGGATTGCTACTTCAGTCTGCCCAAGCACAAGAAAGGTACGCCACCTTGACATATATACGCTAGCCTTGTCACCCCATGCTAATATACTCCAGGATACTCTGGTGTGGGAATCTTCACACGACAATCCGTATGCGCTCCTATCCGCGCCGAAGAAGGCGTCTTAGGCGCTCTTTGCCCTCCCAACTCGACAACGCCCTACCGCGAACTCCCGGAATCTGACAGTATCGGCGGCTATCTGACTCCCGAACAAATTGCATCCCTCCCTCCTGATCTTGACGCAGAGAGTTTAGACTTGGAAGGGCGCTGTCTTGTCCTGGAGTTTCCCGCTTTTGTCCTTTTTGGTGTCTATAGCCCAGCAAACAGCAATGGCTTACGAGACGGATTCCGCATTGGCTTTCTAATAGCGCTCGAGACACGGATAAGAAATCTGACGAAAATGGGAAAGAATGTCATCCTTACGGGAGACTTGAATGTTTCCCGGGACTTGATCGATACGGCGAGAGCGGAAGAACATATACGGACGGAGGGTATGACACATGACGAGTATCTAAGCACGCCGAATCGTCGCATCTTTAATCAGCTCTTGCTCAATGGAAATGTTCCAGGTGAGCGGGACGAGGGACGGGAAGAGCCGGTACTGTATGATTTGTGTCGCGAGTTCCATCCTGATCGTGAAGGCATGTATACACATTGGGAGCAGAAGATCAATGCCAGGCCAAGTAATTTTGGATCACGGATCGATTTCATTCTTTGCAGCATCGCCATCAAGGATTGGTTCCAGGACGCAAATATCCAAGAAGGATTGATGGGTTCAGATCATTGTCCGGTATACGCGGTGTTAAAAGATAAGGTGCCAATACAACGGACATCAGGAACAGAAAGCGTAGAAGAGGAGGTAAATTTGCTAGATTTGATGAACCCAGCGGGCATGTTCAAAGACGGTGTACGGCAACGTGATTACGATCCAGCCAAGGACGTCCCGGCTCTTAGCGGGAAACTTCTCTCGGAATTTACTAAGAGGAGGAATATTCGGGACATGTTCAGTAAAAAGCCAACACCTCCAAAACCTACGCCTGTGGTAGTTCAGCCGGATGTCACAGCAAAGGCTGAGGTTGCAAGTACTGCGAGCACAGCGGAAGAGCAGATGGATAGAGATCTGGCTTTGGCAATTGAGGCTTCGAAAGCAGATATGCTTGCAAATACGGAAAACAAACCCACATCTTCACAGAGTCCTCTCAGGTCCGCTGAAAAACGACGCGCATCAGCCTCTGCTTCCCCTGGAAAGCCAATCAAGCGGGGCAAAGCTGGCGCCCTCGCTGTGTCTACCAAAGGTAACAAGGGGCAACAATCACTCAAAGGTTTCTTCCAGACACATAGCAAGTCTGCAGATCCTACTACGCCCAAAGACGCAGCGCCATCAGTCTCATCTCTCGAAACCACGAATACTCCAAGTCAGAATGCTACGGAAATGCCTCATCCACCTTCTCCGTCGCCGACAACTAACGAGGCGTTTGATTCTGATCCCCGCGCTTCTCAAGAAGCGTCAAGGGAAGGCTGGACGAAGCTTTTCTCTAAGAAAGCAGCGCCCCGATGTGAACATGGCGAACATTGCATCACTCTCACGACTAAAAAACCAGGAGTCAACTGTGGACGGCAATTTTGGATATGCCCTAGGCCAATTGGGCCTTCAGGACACAAGGAAGTAGGGACGCAATGGCGTTGTGGAACGTTTATCTGGTGTAGTGATTGGAAAGGCAGTTGAGGGAGTCAAGCAAGGTGTGCTGAAACTGCTGCGCCATTATTGGATGACTGTATTCCCCTCGATGGTGCTACACCCGAGCAATGCCCAAGATTGCAAGAATATGGCGAATTGTATGGAGGATAGGACGGGCATTGCACCAAAGTAGCAGATGCGTCACAAGGACAAGGCCAGAGCCATGGGCAAATGAACGCATGCAGAATCAAAGCACACGTAAGGTAGGAGTAAGACTAGGCCGCACACATGGTCTGCTCGCAGATTCGGTACGAAACGGCTGTTTCGCAATACAATGGGATTTGGATAAGAATGCGATGGTGCTGAAGGGGAGGGGCTGGGTGCATGCCGTTTATCGATTCTCCGAGTTCGGATGCCGAGGCGGGGGGCTGAGGGAACGGGGCGGGACGACGGAACGTGGCTATGCGGGGAGATGGGCAAGACCACCAGACGAACAGTCCCTTTGGTACGACGGTCGAATCTACCCTAAGGCATGTCGAGTCTGGCACACGACGATTCTGCAGCCGTGCTGCCATGTGTTGCTTGGCTATGCTTTGCATCTGCGTATACTTAGAATAGAGAGAGGCGTGAGCGCCGCCTGCGCGCTGGCAACTGTGTGCGCGGCAGCTGTCATCGCCCATTCGACATCAGACGATGGATTTGCCCAAAGGCTTTACGACCAGGCCAGACAAGCCGGCCAGTATCCACCACCTAATCCTGCAGAGGCACAGAAACGGGCCGGCAGCAGTTCGCGGGCGCTTGCCCGGCACTCGGTTGTTCCCGCGGCCATCTTGGTTGCAGTTGTTTATGAAACACCAACACTCGCCCATCCAGCAGCCGCGCCTATCGTCACTGTGAGCGCCTCGCGGATGGGCGCTCTCGGTGGGTCGCAAGGCATCTTGCTCGGCCCGTGTATGTTGGATTGCTATTCTCGCAGCCTGGTCTCTCTCGCACGCTCTTGACCTTGGGCGACTGTTCCGTGGGCATTCCTTTTCTGGATCAGGCTGCGGGCCTTGCACTTGGACGTGGTTTTCTGCGACATGCGACTTGCGACTTGCACTCTTCTGCAGGTCCCCGAGCTCAGCCCTACAGAGCATTGATGACTACAGCGCCCTACATACACACGTCTGACCAAAAAGACGCACCCCTTGCTCGTTTGTCGCTTGCCAAGGTCTTTATTTGGGCCTTGAAGCCTGGTCGAATCAGCGCCAGATTAGCCGCCCCTAAATCGCTTCCCCCTTCCTCTACCGCTACCCCTCCATTCGGTACTCGAATTATTCTTAGACACAGCCGCATCTGGCTGCACAGTGGGTATTCTCAAACAGGCGCTTCCGTTGCAGGCACCCTCCCCTGCTCGAGGGGACGAACCGCTCACGTTTTTGTGCGCCGACCACTCACAGGCCCAGTTTTGGCCAGCCCTGGCCCTCTTTCATGGCGCTTGGAGTCGTGACCCAGTGAACGGCCTCCTCTTCGCCTAGTCACACATACCATTCTCGGTACATGGCAGATCGATCCGGCGATTACAGAAACATGTCCTGGTTTCAAAACAATTCTCCGGCCGGCCTGACGGCCTTTGTTGTGGATGGAGGCTCTGTATGTGGCTTATTGTATAAAGATGCTCGCCATGCCCCTTGATGCATCTTCAGACAGCCCAACTCCAACAGGTACGACTACAAGTTCTCTCATTATCACTCGTCAGGCCATCTCCCATCTTTTCTTCTCACTCTGTCACTCTCATTCTCCACCGACTTGGTCTACTCTAATCATAATCCGCTATCTGGCCGCTTCCATCACTCTCAATCGTTGTCTTCTACTTCCTGTCAGCGCGTCATTCCATATCTCTATTCCTGTCATCACGTTCTTCTCTTGCTTGTCTCCTCACTCAATTGGTCGACAATGCCTAAGATTGACAAGGGTCCGTCGCATCGCCATTCCGTGTCGACTTCATCGGCTGCAGGCGGAACTCGAAGCTCCTCTTGGTCCACCAAGGATGACGAAACACTTATCCGCGCCAGAGCCCAAGGCCTCAACTGGAACCAGATCGGACCAAAGCATTTCCCTTCCAAGACTCCAAATGCCTGTCGTAAACGCCACGAGCGGTTGATGGAGAGGCAGAATGCGGAGCAATGGGACGGCGTCAAGCTCGAGATTCTAGCACAAGCCTACATGGACGTGCGACAAGAAATGTGGAGTTTGCTCGCCGCCCGTGTTGGAGAAAAGTGGCAGTTGGTTGAGACAAAGGTGAGTTTGTTTGTAAAAGCTAGGGCCTTTGTAGTGCAATACTGATTTGACCTCAGTGCATGGAAAAGGGACTTAAGAATCTTACGCAGGCCGCTAGGTCGGCCCACAAGAAGCTCGAGAATGGTACCTACCACGACTATGAAGACAGTGGAATAGGCATTTCTGACCTCGAAGAAGAACAAGAGGATCAACATGGTGGCATGTCACACATGTCCTCAATCTCCGAACCCCATTACTCTCCGTACTCTGGCTACCCACAACCACAGCATCAGCGGGTTCCCAGCATCCAATCTATGCTGCACCCGATGCAACAGCATTCGCATCATATGCAACAGCCTATGCAGCAGTCAATGCAACAATCTATGCAGCCGTCAATGCAACAACCTATGCAACAGTCGATCCAACAACCCATGCCGCAATCCATTCAGCAAATCCAGCAACCCATGCAGCAGCCACTCCAGCAGCCAATGCCACAGCCAATGTCACAGCCAATGCAACAACCAATGCACAGCCAGTCAATGGCATATTCGTCGCATCAGCTATCGCACCCGCAATAGACGGTTGACATCGGCGCTACCGGACTTTGCCCTTTTTTCCTACTTATTTTCCTTCAACATCTCATTTCTCACGATCGTTACGACTCTCATGGCTACCTTTTCACCCGGTAGCTTTCTCTTTTCTGTACCAATACCCTTCAGAAACGCACCGATACCCATCACTACCATCTCGTAGCTTCTCTTCAAGATATACACCTACATAGGTGATTTAGACTGGCTAGCATAGCAGTCGTTCTATACACTCGATCTGTTCGCAAGGAACAGCGGAGGACCGTAATAGGGTCGGACAACAGGACATTCTCTTGCATCAAGATCTATACTAGCATAGGGTTATTTCTTTCGTATTTTTTAACTTTTTTTTTCGATATATGTTCGCAGATACTAGGATGACGTTTCTTTGGTATGCGGAGATGGACTCGTGTATTTTTTTTCATTATTTCTTATGCTTCTCTTCAATGTTATCTCTTTCTTTTCGTGTCATCTTGATGCTTCCTGGCGCATCTTCCAGTATATGACCGAGTTTCACTTTCCATCTGACTACTTATTGTACAAACTTGTATGTCAACTGTACTGACAGTATCACCAACCTGTAGCTGTACAAAAAGAACCACACTACTAGCTGCCTACCAGCTACGAACACACCGTTCCCAGACCCCGCTATCGTTGAGTCGACCCTGTATCATCTTCGTTACACAAGCGCACAGCCCCGAGCCGCATACACAGCCTCCGCCATAGTAATCCTTTAACCCCACAAACTTCCAAACATAAGCACACACAAGAAAAAGACAGCCTAGCGATTTCATGCATACCCTCTCGCAGAGCCTCACTAAAAATAAATATTTCAATTCTGTGCATGCGGCAACGACACACCCTTTCCCGCCGTCTGCACTCTGCACGCGACAGCAACAAACTAGGGCCACGCGATTGGCGCATGGCGCACACCCGCACCCGCAAAAGGCCGATTTGGCGCTAAACAAGCATCATGACATAACCACCTTGTTCTGAAGCATTATCCTCCCCCCATCGACAATTCGCACAACGAAACTCAAGATGATTGACCGATAGTAGTCGCAGCCGAAAAAAAAGACTCCGTCATTTTCCCTTCCCTTTCCTCTCATTGCTTCAATCAAAGCGCAATGCCCCGCGCCCCTCTCCTTCGGATTCCATATACAGATCCCTTACCCGCACCTCGCATCATTCCCGCAAGCGGCACTACAAGCAGTGGCGCCATTGCCGCTCTTGTAGACTTTTTATCGCCATGCCTGCCTTCCCGATCGCCTTCTTCGCGTCCTGCATTTACACCCCACAATGCCCGACCAGCAAAAACACTTCTCCTCACCGGCGCAGGCATATCCGTAGCATCGGGCCTCGCAGACTACCGCGGCGCAAACGGGACGTATACGCTCAATAAAACGTACCGCCCGATTTACTACAATGAGTTTTGTGAGAGCCACGAGACGAGGAAGAGGTACTGGGCTAGGAGTTTCATAGGGTGGACGAATCTTGAGCGTGCGAGGGCGAATGCGGCGCATGTGGCGTGTAGGGAGTTGGGGAGTTTGGGGGTTGTTGGGGGTGTGATTACACAGAGTTCGTTCTTTCCCCTTCTCCCCCTCCCCTTCTATCTTCTTTCTCAGAAAAGAAAGGAAGGATTACGGTGGAAAGTTAGCTAATGTGTTGTAACTTGGGACAGACGTTGATTCCTTCCACCCAACCACACACCCCCACCTCCCCACCATTGAACTCCACGGCTACCTCCGCAACCTCGTCTGCCTCACCTGCCGAAACGAGTACTCTCGACGGACCTTCCAATCTCAACTTTCACATCTAAACCCCTCGTGGGCGGCGTTTCTAGCAGAAATGCTAGAGACGGGCGCGCTGAATACTGAGAATCCGCTTGAGCGCCGCAAAAGAGGGCTCAAGACGAATCCGGATGGCGACGTGGATATCCCTGATGCCCCATATACTACCTTTCGCTACCCCGCGTGTCCTACGTGCTTGGAGAAGCCGCCGAGGCGGGCGGATGGGAGCGAAGTTAGTGTGCAGGTTGATAAGGATGGGGCGTGGGATCCGCGCAGTGAGGGTGGGGTACTGAAGCCTGCAGTGATCATGTTTGGAGAGTCTATTCCTGCGGCTACCAAGGTGGCGGCTGAGCAGGCTGTTGAGGCGGCGGGGAGAGTGCTGGTGATTGGAAGTAGTCTAGCTACGTATTCTGCGTGGCGGCTTGTCAAGAAGGCCAAAGAGATGCATTTGCCGATTGGTGTGCTGAATATGGGTGGAGTACGAGGCGAAGAAACTTTTTTTGGCGATATAAAAGATGGGCATGCAACAAGGGATGCGGTACGTTTGAGTGAGAATGCGGAACAGATTCTTCCGAGTGTTGTGGGCATTTTACAGCGTATGCAAGAAAAGAATTAGATGAGGGGTTTTCCCCCAATCTGTTTAGTTTTTTTCTTTCTTTTTTTTTCATCTTTCGAAGGATTGAAGAGAACGAAAAGAAGATATGATTCCATACTATAGAAAGAAAGAAAAAAAAAGACAGGTACAGGGTCCATCAGTCTTTTGTGGTATCAAAAAAAGCGGAAAGGTACAAAAAGAAAAAGAAAAAAAGCAGAAAGAGGTTTATCTAATGCCCGCAAGAGACTTTATACATATGTGCATATAAAATGGTGTTTTTTTTTCTCAAACACTGCTCCATCAGAAGAATCGAAAAAAAAACTCTTCATAATTTCAATGTGTGTCTGAGGTGAACATGATATGTTCGAGATTAGTATCAGAAAACCAGTCTAACAACAACTCTCCTATCGCTGCTTCATCGCATCTCCTCAGTGTCATAAATAGCAACAGTAGCAACAGTAGCACCAGTACCATTGCTCAAGTCCTGCTTGTTGCCCATCTCGTTTGTCGCAACCGCATTCTACGCTTTCGACTTTGCATCCAGCAAGAGAGCGAGGTTGCGCGCGGGGGTACGCATGAGGTCGTCGCTGCAGGCCTTGCAGATGCGGAGTTGACACCATGTGCAGCACCACTTGCGTTCCTTGCCGTTCTCGCGACAGACCATGCAGGCCATGGGCTGGAAGACATTGTTGGACCAGATGTTCTGGGCGTGGCCGGTGTAGCAGTGTAGGTGCTGGTTTGTGACTTGTGGGACGAGCGAGGAGGGTACGGGGATGGATTGCTCGGTTAGGGGCACAAAGGGAGGAGGTGTTGCGGGTTCCATGGCTTCGGCGGGCTCCGTGGCGATTTCGGGTTCGTTGTCTTTAGCGACGGGGGATGGAGGGATGGAAGGTCCGGGAGATGGGGATAGATTTGGGATGCCGACGCTGATGGACGTGGGGCGCGAGGGCGCGCTCAAAGGACGAGAATCAGAGCGTGGTGGAAACTCGAGTGAGGTGATGCGAGCAGGTGGCTTGGCGTTGATTGGTGGTGTTGGCGCATATGGAGGCGCAGGGTTTGTGAATTCTGGCTTGATCTCTTGTTGCACTGATACTGGAGGTTGTTGCTGTGGCTCGGCGATGGGCTCAGCGACAACAGGAGACTGCTCGTAAATGGATGAAGTCCTCGGGTTGGTCGGGGGAGGCAAGGGCGAGACGGGTGAGATTCCAGCGTCTGGTTCCGCGAGAATGGGTTTTAGTGTTGGAGAAGGTGTCGGCTCTGGGGTAGTAGCGTGTATGTTGACTGTAGGGGGTGAGGGAGCCGGCCTTTGTGCCTGTGTAAACCGAATTAGTTACTAAAACTCATTCTCGTGGAATAGGGCTCCAGTACCCTGAGAGTTTCGTCGTGATGCAGAAGCATCTTATCTGACGAGTACTGGTGGTGGAAAAGGGAGGTAAATATATACCTTCAATACACTCAGGCCTGTACTGCTCTTCCCCTGCACGTTCACAGGCGATCCTAGAGAGTTGACACGTGGATTCGAGGGCAGACCAAAGACCTTCTTTGGTTGTGCCAAAGATGCCGTATCCTCCTTTTCCTCGTCGGGTGTTGGCGGGAGCTGAGCTTGCATATTGGGCAGATTCTTTTTCGGTTGAGAGTTCTCCATTTTGCTCACACTTACTTTGCTCTCGATATTTTCCCTCTTGGGTGCAGACGTGGGAGCTGTTGGCACGGCCTTTCTTCCTCGTGGACCATTTCCTAGTTCTGCCAGGCTCTTGAAAGCCTTGACAGCCTCTGGAACAGCTTTGCGCTTCACAACTGGCGGCGAGGCGTCACTCGACTTGTTTTGCGACAAGAGCGAATCATTCCGCTCCCTGGCTTGCTTTGAAACTCTACCTCCCATTTCCTCCCTTCGATCCGATTTAGGTGGAGGTGGCGGGGGAAGATCTTCTACTGCAGAGACTGGTGAAGGAATGGATTGAGACGGCAATGGAAAGGCCGATGGTGAAGGGACTGTTGCTGTTGACCCGTTGCTGATGGTCAGCTTCAGCGAAGCCGGTCTGGAACCGCGAGACAGGCTACGTGACACAATGCGCTTCCTTGGTCGTGGGGAGCCTCCGACTGAGCTAGATGGCGATAGGGGTGCGTCTTGGTCTTCTGCTGAACGTTAGTCTACCATAATGGAACATTAATCATTGTTGGAGCGGTTGGTGCAGGTGAGGTGCAGAAACGAAAGTAACAGAGACATGGTGAAGTATGTGACGACGTGAAACCAGGACGTGGTCAGTGTGGACCCAAGCTATGGTTCAGACCAGCGAGGCAGGCAGTCTCAAGATCCACCACCATGTTGGCTCATTCGTGTCAAATTTCAATAAAATCGCTCACCTCGAAGTTGGAATTTGGCGTCCATTCGCTCTGAAGCAGGTACAGGTTTGCGCGCGATGCTGTCTGATCGTGGCGGAGGCGGAGGGAGCTCTTTGGTCACTGACGCAGGGGAGTAGACTGACGGGGACTTGCCGTCCGGCTCAAAGGAATTTCCATAGTCGCTGAGCAGTGCACTGACAATGTCTTGACGAGACGATGGAGTAATGGCTAGGGTGTGTTGGGTTGTGATGTCGGACATGATTGTTGTAATGAATGTGTGTGTGTGTGTGTGCGTGTGTGCGACGTTTGCGATGAAGGTCGAATGAATGGAAGTGTCTGGATAGACGGGTTTGTATGTAGAAAGCGAACACAAGCTGGTAGAGAGCGTGGGGGGCAATGAATGAAGAGAACGACTATGCAACAATGAAGACGAGCAAACCGGTGCCAGCCCGATTAATTATGCCTTTTGGACTATGACTGGTAGTAAAATGAAGGAAGGTGAGAGGAGATGGGGACGCGCATAGTAAACTCTCGCGTCGAAGATGGGCGTCTCAGGCGTAGAAAAGGACAGGGGCCCCGTCTGCGTGCTGAGTGGTCAGACGTCGGAATACATGAAGCGTTTGACATGACGACCAGGCAAAGAGTGGCCTGTCACAGCTGAGGATGTGGAACTGCGCGGATCATCCATGTCCGCATAGAAGCGTTTGAGATGACAGGATGGTCGCGGGCCCCACCGGGACGCGGGGCGGTATCGATACTGGGAAGAAGGACGATCAGCGGCGGCACATTGAGCATTGCAACCGCGAGCAAACGGCAATTTGCGTGCCTCGTTGTTGGGCGCACTTGATGCGCCTCATTCATAACGGTCGACATGGATGCAGCAGGCGCATTGTCGTTGAACCGTCAGCAGCACGGAGGGCGACACATGGCTGCCGGGGACGATGCGGCGCATTGGCAACGTCTAACAGCCTAAGGGGCTTTCCTCCTGCCAGATCCTGACACCCCGGGTCTGGCTGTGCACGTGATGTGTACACGACGCGTTTCAGTCCTCCCAAAGAGCAGCCTCGGGGTCGATTGAGAAACTGTGCCTGACACTGGCTTTGCCCCATCACTGCGCAGGCATGCCTGACGTACTACCTGTGGCTCCCGGGCCCACACTGTCGCCGTTGTTCGCCCGAAAACCCGTCCAAGTAGAAGCGCGTGCTTTGACCACGAGCAAGTAAGACGACGGCGATGATGATGACGATGATGTGTCTTACAAATTATGGGCCGGGCGAGCCTTGCATGTGCTCGACCACAGCGGATAGATTGAGTGGCTGCGCGTAGGCCCTGCTAGCTTAATACGACAGCCCTTCATACTCTGGACGACCAAGTCTAGTCCAATAGATGGAGAAACGGACGGCATGGACATGAGTTCACGAAACATTGTAGGGCTGATTTCAAGTATAGTATCAATGGGTTTCCATTGCTCCGTCGTGTCACCATAAAGCCGCTGTTCCGATTAGGAAGAGCCGTTATGCTAGGTCGTCCATATATGAACATGCCTAAGTATAGATCTCCCACCCCTTTTCTACTGCATACAAAGTCCAATGCTCTGCGTCCAAACGCTACACAGGATCCGCATCCAATTCGGTAGACGTCTGATGGTGTAAAATACAAACGCTCCCATGCGCCATCGCTAATGACTGATCGCTCTCAAAAAAAAAGCCGACCGGTTTGTAAAAACAAAAAAACAGTACATGTACAAGAAAAAGATGTGTAGGGTATCGGTCCATCACTGGAAAAAGTAAAGTAAAAACATTAGGACGAGTGTGATCGTAGGCGTAAGTGATACGCTTGTTGTAGGTGCGGCGCTTTTGATGGGAGCAGCCGTGACATCGAGGAAATTAGTGCCACACCCTATTGAGATTTGGTGTGCGGCCGAAGCATACGTTTTTGCAAGGGGCTGCGAGGCATTGTTGCTGTAAGATGCGAACACACCCATTGCTGACTTGAGGCATGAATTGCACGTTGGCCGTGATCCAGCTGGAAGCTCCTGTCCAACTGGCAGGTAGTATGGGTACGCGTCGCCAGGAGATGTCGTGTTGGTGACGGCACTTGCAAAGCAGTAGTTCCCGTCTTTGCCGTGCAGGCAACTTGCCTGGTATGACGGCAAGTAAGCAACCAGGCCATTGTAAGCCTGTATCACCATGGGATTGTCACTATCGTAGTCTGCTTTGCATGCGTCGGCCAGAAGGATTTCCGTGGCATATTTGTCCATGATGGGCTTGCATTGAGACGCGTTGGCCCCGCAAGTCGCGTCGAGGGTCTGAGTAATGCGAAGGGTGGATTTGGAGGCATCGAAGAAACTGCTGGATGTCTGCAGGCGGTCAGATTCTCGCTCAAACACAGAAGCACAGACTCAATTACCTGTAGTAGCAACGAGAACGGATGGCAGTTTTTGAAATCCTCGTTTTGGCGCATGTTGTTTAGAAACTTTGCACAGGCATTGGTAAAGTTGTTGGATAGGGCAGAATCAAAGGCCGCGGGAACGGAGAAATCGCCACTGGAGGCATTGGGATCGGTGCCGAGGGCTCGTTTGGATGGCGGGGATGAGCGGATGGCATCGTGGTGGCCCTGTAGAGGAGGCATCAATCGCGGCGCCTTTGAGTGGTGGGTAAGATGAGGGTGCAGCGCCGATCCAAGGTCGTCTTCCACGAACAGCACTGATCGATCACCATGGGCTCTGGTTGCGAGTGCGGGAGCAGCCAGGGAACTACAGGATAGAAATGCAACGAGCAGCAGGAGCAGCGCGCGGGCAGAGCCGAGCCTTGGTGCCAGGCGCTGATATATGGGCACACAGCGCCAGCGGTTCTCGGGTTTCTTGTGGAGGGTTTGCAGGGGGGAATGGTGCGACGGGATCGCTAGTGATTCGGGAGTACGAGCAGATTGGGAATCCATTTTAATAGATGGGCGGGCGATCCGATATTTAATATCCAGGGAATTGCAGCAACTTCATGCAGCCCATGGCCGTCTCTTGTTTGGATAATGCCGGCCAGACGACTCGCACACGCACGCGGCTGACGGCCTGCGCAAGTATGTCTGTCCTTTGGTTTCGATGTTTCGCTCCGGGTACCTGCAGCAGCAGCCCAAGTGTCGGACGCTTTTTTAGCGGGTCGCCAGGGGTTGTCAACGGCGATGGAGGAAAAAAGCAAAGATTGACAAGCAGTTGGTGCGACTGGGTCGTAGGTGTCGATCGTTGTCCAAACAGCCGTTAATAAAACAGTCTTGCAGCATCCAGAAGACGGTCAGGCACGGGAGCAGCCAGCCCTTATGATGATTGCCATGGCAAGTGGGAATTATTGCACGCCACGCCCCCATGGCGGACCTGCTAACTTGCGCCACGCATCTGTCCCGCTGCCCTGCGGGACCTTTGGATTTGACTGCTGGCAGCCGGCTATGATAGGCCGGGAATCCATCGGTCAGTGCATTGCAATATCCAGTAACCAGCCCGGACGGTGTTCTGGCCAGAAAAACGGGACGCCCTCATTCTTGCGTGGCCGAGACCCAATACGGCCCGCCAAGCCCCTTCACCCTTGCATGGCAATAGAACTTAGTATTTGGTCCACCACTTGCGCATAACTTGACTCCCCAACCACTGATGGACGACGGCTGTTGCAGTCAGACTCTTAGCCTCTCGCCCCCGGCCCATAGTACAATATCGCAGAAGCTGCTGGAAAGAGACTTGCACCAACTCTGCCCTCGATCCTACTTCCATGCCATCCTTAACACGTCGACTTATTACCATCGCTATTATTGACAGCATGCTTTAGCGCTAGCCTCGCCATCGGCCGTCCAAGCAGAGATCTCGCCATTGTCCTGTCCTGTCATCCAACACTCTATATACACCATATCGCCAAGCCAATAAGCCACTCCGCACACACGCCCCTTTCTGCTCCATGCCGTCATGTCCGCTCGACCTATCTCTACCACTACCTCCCAAGCCCACACCGTATACTCGCTTCAGCTGTCCACCACCACTCTGCAAAATCAAGCTGAGCTACCAGACTAGCCCACCATTACTCTCTCCAACTCGTCATGTAGACAGCCACAGGAGGCCTGGTGGTCAGCACGCTTACCCGTAATTCCATCTCGTCCTGGCCTGGCTGCTAAGGCTGCAGCGTGCACCTAGTCTGTCATCCTCCGTTTCTATCAGCATGCACCCGCTGCAGACTTTTCCACCCACCGTCAGTTCCCTGATCCGGCAAGGTTTTCTGCATCAAACCTGCCATCGCTTCCTTCTCTCTCGAATCCGTCAAGGGCTTTCAGGCCGCCATCCTTGTTGAACTCATAGTGCTCACTCTTCGGCTCTCCACAACAACAGCAAAATTGACACAGTCATTCCCGGCCGACCCGAACCACGTTGAAAAGTAATTAACATTCGACAAGGCATCTGAACCGAAGCGTGGCGAGCTTACAACGTCTTCGCCCACCTCGCTACCTACCCGCACTGTCATCGTAAATCGACCGATCGTCTGGAATCTGACTATGCCCCTCACTTGCAACATTCCAGCCTTAAATTCCTCATCCGTGTAATGATCTGTGCGCCATCTTGGTTCTCTCGTACTGGAACGCGTATGCTCATTAAAGCCTATTTGCACCCCTCTTTCAAGGAATCGCATCAGACAATCCAGAATTCTCCCCATGATACCTGAATCACATGTCAGCCAGGCAATGGATTTCAATACAGCACTTACATCTTGAATGCTGGCTCCCACACAGTGACGGCTTTTCTAGACACGTGTCCATTGGCAAGCGTGGGTGGTTCGAGGAAAAAGTGCTTGTCTGCTGAACACTCCAATACCCTGCCATACAAGGTGTCGTCCTCGAGGAACTTCTCAAACCCGCTCACAACAATGGATACAGGTGTTAAACTGCGACCCGTCAATCAATCATTCTGATACAGTACATATACCCACCATTCTGCCGATACGGCATCAACCAACCCCTGCGGTAAAATGGCCGTTTGCACAATGCCTGACACTTTCAGCTCTTTTGCTCGGACCAGAGGATGTTTGGGCTATACTCACCAGGGCATACTGCATTGATCTGGATGTTCTCTTTCTACCATTTGTCAGTACAAACTCCATGACCCTGGTCTGCTCGTGAAACCCACGGCTTTCAGTATGCGTGCCGTTGCCCGTACAAAGTTGACAACAGCGGCTTTGGCTCCATCATACTCTGGAAAAGATTCATGGGGAACAATCCCAGCAACACTGGCCGTAGCGATGATTTTACCGCCGGCTACTTTGTTCTTGCGGAAGAAGTGGATTGCTAACTGTGTACCGTACACAACGCCTTTGTAGTCTACATCGGTGCATACCAGATCTGGTTTCGGTGGGATTCTCTCACAGTTAGTGAAAAAGAGTGGATATCACAATGAGGTCTTACTTGTCGGATCCGCGGTGCTCGAAAATGAAGATTGAGCTACACTATTTCAGCATTGATTGAAGCACGTCTCCAGCAGAACATGCCTCTTGTCAACGATGCCGGCATTGGCGCACAACGCATCTATTCTCCCATAGCGATCCCACACCTGCTGGAACATCTCGGCCTGACTTCTTCAGTCAGCATTCGTGTCGGTCAACCTGCAAATGTGCACACCTATCATAGTCTGCCACATTGCACTTGTGGAAACTGGCAGCACCACCCAGTTCTTCAGCAAGTTCCCTGTTCTCTTGAATATCCGCAATGGCTACCTTCCATCCCTTCTCTACAAGTCCCCGGGATATCCCCATCCCCATGCCACTGTTACCCCCTGTAACAATAGCGACCCGGTGTTCAACACCCATGTCTTATCAACGTGCACGGCTTGGTAGAATAGTTCGACAAGGGAATCCTCGCTACAAGAAGGTTGCAATTTGAGGTCAACAACTCCATTACAAACGCACAAGTCGCCGCCTCTTTAACGCTACCGGGGTTGGGGGGTCCGGTGAGGGGTTGTTAGCAATGCGCGCTATTTCCCGGTTCATTGGTGCCACTACACCCGGATCCCGCAGGGTCAGCTCTGCTGGCTTTGCGCCGCTCGCCTCTTATTAGTCAACCTACGTATACACAATATGTTAGTATGATGCCCCTATTCCGTCCTTTGGGCTGCTATTCCTAGAGAAAACCCCTTGCTTTGTTGAGTCTGGTCTTGACTATCAATTACATGACTATCACAGAGCTCTAGGAAGAGCATTTCAAGACGCAATCACCACGTTCAATCTTTCTCAGAGTCAAATCTTTTTTTCTACTTACGATATAGCATTCTTGTATCGTTTTGATGATACACACGGTATAACCCCAGCACTTGTAATCACTATCAATAAGGTGTGGATAATGTTTTCCGTCAATCATCCGTTAGCAGTTGTCAAATTCCTTTTGCCATGTACTGCAGGCATCCCCGATATTGCCCGGTTACAAGAAAAAGCAAAATCTAAACTTCATCCGCACGTTGTTCAACCTGGTAGGTGGGATGTTTGCAATAAACATGAAGCAGATCCTTCAAGCAGCGCAATGATCCCGAATTCCAAACTTCTGGTACATGTCACCCCGATGCCGGATCTCAACATGTCATAGATTAGTAGCCCGATTATGAGATCATATACAGTTTGCAGTTGATGAGTATCTAAAATGCCTCTCTCCACATAGCGTGGGAGCCAAGTATTGCGGGGCTGCGGGATCATTTCCTCGGCTGTTGCTGGGAGATTACACCGTACGTGCACTGTCTGCGGTATTACAGGATCTGCGAACCACGCGAATGAATATCAGCAAAATAATCAGCAACCGTGATAGTGAGTGAATTTGCAAACAAAATGTTTACTACAAAAAGGTAAGATCAATGTGGGTCAACAAGCAAAGCACAGTTCCAAATAGTGTTATAGTAACCCTGTCTTAAAAGCCCAACATCACAGCACTAAAGATTACTTTGCAGAACCACCCTTCATTGTAACCATGGCATCAAGCGTTGTAACGCAAATTGTAATAAGTCGTTTCCACAAAAAGAAAGGGAGTTCAGATCTTGGGGTGATGCGTGTAATCAAGCGCTACTCCCAATTCGGAAATACACGTAGACGCGCGCCATTTCAACATGGACTCGTTCGATGCGGATCGACCGGCCCTACACGTCTAGAAGGGGAAGTACGGAGCCATTTTTGCGCCGAACCTTATACCAATCCAGCCTTTGTGTTGCAGCGGAGAAAAGTTGAAGCACGAACGTGTTCGACGGACTTTCTAATTGCTGACGGTGCATGCGATGACGTTACGCAACACATGTTACCCTCTTGGGCCTACAGAAGTGTTATTACCTAGGCGTGTCAGCACAAAATAATCTTAATCAAGTTCGGCTCTTTTGCACCGCAATCAACCCAGCCATCACCGCAATTTCAACACGGCTTGTAGTATACGACTTTAGCTATGGCGACCAAATCACTTGTACGGCTTCCTGTTGCCGATAGATGGACACAGCTACTAACCGATCACGCAGTACCTCGTCGCGCTCGCAGTGATAGGGCCTTATCTCTACGACCGCGGTGTCACCTTCTCGGGCATGTTCGCCAACCGACCGGGGAAATTCGAGAACCTTAATCTGTTCAAAGAGCACCAAGTAAAGTTTGCCCAGCGGATGCGAAATTGCGAAGATGTCTTGATTGAGGAGGGTATGGGTGTTGCTTTCGTGAGTTGCAACCCAGGAAGGGACCAATGGAATACCGTCATGGTAAGAATAACCCCAGCGGGCAATCTCTCAAGGGAGGGAGGCTGGCCAGAACATTCGAATGACCGATTTCGAATAAGTAGTTGATTTGAAAGTTACGCAGGGCACATTTGCGCCGCCTCGCACAAAGAGCAGCGACCAAGACGACGCACACATCTGGCTCTACGACTACTCCACGCCCAACCTTCCCGATTCCGCAGCTCTCAAACCCCTCACCCTCGTCTCCTACCCCTACCCCTCAGACTTCCACCCCTTAGGCATCGAATTCGACGCCCAAACCTCCACCCTCTACGTAATCAACCACTCCCGGCACTCAGGCAACACCCTCGACCTCTTCCAAATCTCCCCGAAAAATGCCTCTGCAACGTACATCAAGACGCTCACGCACCCCCTGCTCCACACCCCAAACTCGATCCACAGCCTCGGAGACGGCAAGCTGCTCATGACAAACGACCACTACATCGGCGCACTAACATCCCCCCTCCTCTCCAAAATCGAGACTTTTTCTGCCGCTCCCGGCGGCAGTATCGTCTACGTTGATACCCACGACCCCCCGCAAAGCAAAAAGCTAGCGCACGTAGCATTTGCAAATGGTATTACTATGCTCAACTCAACCACCGTGGCGGTGGCGTCGACTTCCAAACCTGCAATCTACCTCTACACATTCGATGAAGAAAACGTAGAGTTGAAGCTGCTAAAGCAGATCCGGCTCCCCTTCATGGTCGACAACATTGCTGTCGATTCTGCAGGCAAGTTGCTGATGGCGGGGCACCCGTTTGCGCTAGGCCTCATGGTTGTGAGTAAGGCGAGGGCCAAGTGCGATGAGCAGGGTGCAGAGGAGCAGAGGAAGGCGTGTGAGTGTACGACGTCGAGTTGGGCGGCCGAGTGGAGTGAGGAGGAGGGTGTCAAGACGTTGTATAAGAATGATGGAGGGGAGTTTTGTAGTAGTTCGACTTTTGCGAGGGATGCGAGGAGGAATGTTAGTATTGTCACCGGGTTGTATGAGAGGGGCTTGTTGGTGGCAAGGGGCTGAGGAGGTTGGTGATGCGCTGGTCGTTGAGGAAAGTGGGTCGAGGTAGGTGGTTGGTATGCAAGGTTTTGGTGAATACTTTGAGCTATATCTGATTGTAGCTCATCCCAGCTTGCTGAGAGTTTGATGATAAGGATGCTTGGTGGTCATGCAGTCACGAATAGCCTAAACTTGGGAAGAGAGTTTATGCTTTAAAAATTAAACATAAAAGGAGACTCATGAACGTAGCGATTAAATCAAGGTTGGGACTTGAAATGAACTCCAACAACCAAAAAGTCATTGCATTATTCATGCCAAACGTCACTACGTACCATCAAACCCTACACAGTCTCCCATTCTGAGTCTGCACGCCCTGCTCCCCATCCTCGACCTTCCACCTCTCACTTCCCACAGCAGTAGTAGCATAAAACACATCATTCGGATCCCACTTTTGCTTCATCTCGCTGAGTCTAGGGTAGTACCCACCATAGAACGATTCCTGCCAGTCCTCCTCATCAACATGCGCCTCATTCAAGTACGTACCGCCGCCCTCAGAAACAGGTGAGATATCGCGCCAAGGCTGCAGGATATTCTCCTGGAGATCTTTGCTAGCGATGGCGAGAGCTTCTGGCGTAGAGTGATCCAGAGACTTGTTGGTCGAAGTAACCATGAACATGCCGCATTCGCGCCACGCCGGGTGCACTGCGTTGTTGGTATTTGCGTACTTTTTTGGGGCCTTGTGGTATCCGAGGAGATGCTTGCCGGCAGATACGTGCTCCTTGATGAGTGCAAACGTCTGGTTGAATTTCTCTTGGAAGTTGCGCTTGGGGATGATTCGGCTGCCTGCCATGGAGTCGTCTCGTCCGATGGGGAAGGGGTTTACTCCCCATGTGGCTTGGTAGGCTGAGTAGAATGAGCTGTGTGATTTGGCGACGTGGGGCTGGGTGAGGGTGATGTTCTTGGCGTCTAGGTAGTCGAAGAAAGGCTTGACGACTTTGTTGTATGATTCCAAAGTGTGGTTCGGGGCGAAGATGTATCGTGCGCTGAGGAATGGAGCTGGAGTGTTGCCCATGATGAAGAAGGAATAGAGGCCTGTCTCGGCCCAGTCCAGGAAAAACTCGTAGTATTTCTCGATGCCATCCCAGAATGCTTCAAGACTGTTGTTTGAAGCGTCAAGGTAGAAGCTCGAACCGACCACGTTCAATTTAGGGTGTGCCCGAATAATGACTGACGTTACAATGGCGAATGTACCGCCGCCACCACCTCTTAGTGCCCAGAAAAGATCCGGGTTTGATTCTTCTGATACGGTAATAAAACGTCCATCGGCAGTGACGACTTGGAAAGCCACGACGTGATCAGCTGCCATGCCGTAGATGCCGGCTAACGGGTTTTGTCCTCCTCCTGTGATCATACCGCCAGCATAACCGACACTCTGAAAACAGTTAGTACGCAATTCTAGAATCGTCATTGCAACCACGTACCCAAGATACAGCCCCTAGTACCGTCACGCCATGTTTTTCTGCAGCCTCATACACATGTCTGACGAGGACACCAGCAGAGAGCTTAAATGCGGGTCCTGAATAGCCAGGTCCCTCGTAGTCTTGAATGAAGTCAATCTTATTCATATTGTGCATCCATAAGCTGAGAGCACCAGCACCAGTCGACTTTCCCAAAAAGCAATGCCCAGTATTCTTGATAATGAGACGAAGGTTGGCGACTCGAGCAAAGTTGACAGCAAGTTGGATTTGTGCCACGTTTGTTACCTTCACTGAGTATTCTGGAAAGCCGCCTAAAGTGCAGGATTTATCATTGGTATCATTCTTTGGTATGCAAGTTCTGCCTTGGTAGATAGGCCACATGTCTATGGATTGCGGATCAAGTCAGCGGGAAATTGAAAATTCAGTTTGAGTGATTTTGGCCTTACTGGATGTTGGGTCATCTGTATGAAAGTATGCGTTGGTCCAGTTTGTTGAAACATCTGCACACCGTGCGGGGTCTTTCTTCCCCCATATAGAATCGTAGCACGATGCTGCAACTGGCTTGGTCGGAATCAATGCTCCGCCGAGAAGAGCATTGAAGACATCCCAGATGGGTTTCTTAGGCCATGTTGCGTCTCCAGGAAAAGTCCTGCAAGCTGCAGAAGCAGCCCGTCGCACGTGTGCAGGGTTGGCAATACCGCTGTTGTCGAATGCAAAGTACTCAGCGTATTTGGCAGTAGCTTTGTCGGAGGCAAGCCGATCGATCACTGCATCGGTAAGCTGAAGAGTTTCAGCCTCCTGCAGCGCCGCGCCTGCAGGTGCAGTGGCATGAACGGAGGTGGCTGCTGGTTCGAGATCAAGGGATGGGGAAGGTTGAGACAGGATAACCACTGGTGAGAAAGCCAAGAGGATGCACGTGGCTACCCAGTGTGGTGGTGCCATGGCGAAATGATCGAGATCTGAATACGATATGATGGTGGTTGAGATGGTTAAGAGAACAAATAGTACTTGACTTTTTTATCTGTTTCTTTCAACCGGCCAGATACCATGCGCTCAAAGGATTTCCATTGCAGGTAAACCCGTGAAACATGCACGCATACTCTAGAATTCGGCAAGTCCTTCAGTTGACTAGAACATTGCCGAACGAAGGCAAAACGGCGGAGCAAGAGATGCAGCCTTGCACAGGGACCACGGGAAGAAAGCGGTAGTAAGTCGGAAGATAGCATAGCTTAATTAGACAGCATACACACGTCGATCCCAACCTTCAGTTCTTCCAAGATGGAATTGGTTCGCCACAACTGGCGGTGGTTGCTATCCAATCAAGACAGTCGTCGCTGTAGGAAGAGCAGACCCGAGGAGCAGTGTGCATGCATTGATGCAAGCGCTGACGGATTCTCTGATTGTCCAATGCGACCTTCCAATAAGAGACTACCCGCTTAAGAATATTGGCAGCTTGGCACACCACATGTTGAAAGGCACATGGCGTGAGAAACTGCAGTACTGTGGCGCGGTTCTGAACATAGATTCCCTGGTCGTTGTCCACATCAACGTGGAGACAGCTGGAGTAACTTTAGAACTGTTCAGAGAACTTCATCAAGGCCCTTTATTTTTTTTATTGTAGTGATTCCAGTGGCGACAACTGCAGATAGCCATTCTCAACTGTATGTGTAGATATCGTACCGTTCAAAGGAAGGTGTGTGGGGCTAGCGAAGCAGGGCAACAATTGATTTCAGCCTGTAGTAGAGGTCAGAGCATTAGAACTGCATTATAAGAGCAGCTTAGCGTTTTACAAAATAATTACGTTGTACAGAGATCAGCATTCATTACCATCGTAGCCACTTATCCTTCACTTCTGAGGCCCAGCTCAGACCGTAGTCGTGCAAGAGTCCACATTCCAATATAGTGTCTATCGTCACGTTAGATACAGAAGATCTCATCGTCGTCCAGTTGATGGCCAAAGACCAATTCTTAGTCGCCCGGATGGACGCATGTACATTTCTTTACCGGCTTTCTCTTCAACTCGTCGTACGTAGATTGTACCATCTCAAGTTCACAAAACGACATCGAGAAAACTACAACAGTAGAATTGGAATGTGAGTTACTAGATATGAAGCCGGGACCGGAATCGAAGAGGCCCGAACCAACATTGTTCTAAATATAATGACTGGCTGTGTGGATTCAGGAGAAACACGGCAAATGCCATCGGGTTGTAAATTAAGGCCAAGAGTTGTACTTAGTAATGCCTACTATATTGCTAAGGAAGCCGCGTGAAACGCCAGATACACGAGTAGTACGTAGATTTACAGCACGATCTTGCATATATGCAGCATTTTTGTCGTCCTTCCAACTCGTATCGACAATGAATACCGGTAGTAATAATGGGACGACAAAGTTTTCTGAAAAAACAAAAAACAGATATCAGCCTCCCCGGATTGTTGCTGACTTTCGTTACGACAACCCCCCAGTTTCGCCCAGACAGGCAAAGCGTAACGATGGCTGGTGGTGTGGGGCCAGCTTCCGCCCCGGTGACATCCACACCTCCCGCTACCAAATTCCAGCCAAGTCACGAGGCGCAAACATGACGCCGTAAAGCACCCTTTTTTTGTGTGATTTGCATGCCGCATCGAGACATAAGTCCGCAAACGGTTTCCGAAGATATTTTACGAGCGAGGGGACCCGATGGCATGGAAATGTCTCCACTGAAGCGTCCAAGCGACGATGCGGACCATGAGGATGGGCGTCGGCCAGCTCCACGCACGCCGAGGATTAGAGCTTGTGAGTCGAAAGGAGCCCCCCGACGACCCACACATACATACACGTCAAGTCGGCTGCCCCTAACTTTATTCTTTACTTACAATGAATAACAGGTGCAGAGTGCAAGAGACACAAGATCAAATGCGAGCCAGTAGACAATGAGACAAAATGCGCAAAGTGTCTGAGAAGCGGCACCGAATGCGTGCCGTACAACATGAACCAGCGCATTCTTGACGAAGATGTTGCGTAAATACACCCAGAAGATAGCCTCTGCATAAAGAGCATTTGAAGAGAATGGGAAGACTAATCAGTTGTTTCGCAGTTGGAAAGCAAAAGCATCCGCTGAAATGGCACGCATGCGCACAGCGGTGCAGCGTCTGCTCGCGCACAATAAACTCCCAGGCCTGGATAGCCCGCCAGAAGAATCGCCTCAGCCGCCATCAGGACAGACTGTGACTGTGACGCCGACTAATGTCATATCGGAGAGTGGCCACACTACGCTGTTGGTTCCTCCTCTGATGGATATGACGCGCGACAACTCTGTTGAACGCGATTCCGGCGAAGAGTCTGGCTTGGTGACGGCGCCCATGAGAAGTTTGTACGACCTGACGCGAATCCGGAACCTTCGGAGCAGCGCACGGTGGAAGCCCAACTCAAACTCTGTAGACGAGGACTTTATAGCTCAAGGCGTCGTATCCCTGCGGGAAGCTGAAGAGCTGTTCCAGCGATACATGCAAGATATGCGGTTGTATCTATGGGCTGGCGTGCTGTTTCCATACAACTCACTAAGTGCAGTGCGGCGCCACTCGACGCTGCTAACAGCAGCTGTCCTGACGATATCAGCACTGCACACGCCGGGACAGGATGAGGCGCTGCAAAAGTGCTACGGCATCTTTGTATCGCTAGTCTACAGTGCTACGCTCGCGCGGCCCCAGAATCTCGACGACATACGTGCCTTGGCGCTTGCTGCATTCTACGTCCCCAACCTAAGCTGGAAACTCGCCGGAATTGCAATTAGGAATGCGGTAGAAATGAATTTGCATATGTCTTACCAGAAGTTGATGCGGGGCCACGAGGATCAGCGGGATAACGTCAGGCTGTGGCTTACACTGTACGTGTGTGACCACCAATTCAGTATCGCGTATGGACGCCCGTCAATGGTGCACGACGACGTTGCAGTCAAGAATATTGAACGGTTCCTTGACAGCCCCAAGACCACGCCTGGCGATATTCGACTCGGAGCTCAAGTTACGCTCTTCAAGATCCTGACCGAAGCCTACGTTGTCTATGGCAGCGACCCAGAGCAACCACTTACCGAGCCCGACTTCCAGCAACTCCGCCTCTTCAACTTTGCCATTGAGCAGTGGCGCCTAGCATGGCAAGCAAAATCCGCAGATAGCCCCGCAATAGGCTCATACCCCTCAAAAGGAGTAGTCCTATACTACCACTTCGCCCGCTTCCAACTAAACTCCCTCGCCCTCCGAGCCCTCCCCCCTCCCAACGCCACAACATCCGAGTCCCTCTCCTACGACCGCCGCGAAGCCGCCAATATCGCCATCACCGCCGCCACAAGCACCCTAACCCTCATCTTCGAAGAACCAGACCTCCGCCGCGCCATGACCGCCGTCCCCATCTTCACCCACACCATGCTCGCCTTCAGCGCCACCTTCCTCCTCAAAATCGCAAAAACCTGGGGCGGCGTCGCCCAAGCCCAGTCCCCCGAATGGGCCACCGAACCCCTGGGTCTCGGTCTAAATTTCAACATCAACCAGGTCCTCTCGCTGTCCCGTCGCTCCGCCTCCTTTTTAGCAAAAGTAGCAGATACTCTGAATAAGAAACACATCACTCGGCATATCGTGCAGGGTATCAACGATCTACTGAAAAGAATTGATGTAGCGGCGGGCACGCCGTCGGCGAATACATCGCATAATTTCACGGCGCCGTCGCCGGCTACGTCGCAGATTTTCGATCCCGTCAAGGCGGCTACGCAGAGCCATGAGGTCAGTGCTGATCCGGTGAATGAGTACAACATGTATGACTTGATTGGGTCGTATGGGTTTGGGTTTGATGAGACGTTTTTGGGGCAAGGGGCACCGACGAATATGGGGTTTTGGCAAACGGAGCATTTTTGAAACCTTCCTTCCCTCCTTTCTTTCTTTTTCTTTGGGATAGAGAGAGATCTTGGTTTATGTATAGTGGCTTTTTTTGTAATAATCTTTTTTTTTTTGAGAGATTGGAAATGTTTTAATCATATACACTAGCCTGTCGGTTGGCTGTATTATTGATCTTTTTAACTAGATTGTTCCATGCGGCGCCATAGGCCGAGGAAGCCGCCTCCGATGACTTGCTGGCCGGCTTTGGGACGACATACCATGGCCCATTTTTCTTCCTCCTCCTTCTCCTTGTTTAGAGCTGCTTCGAGCTCGCCATCTCTGGCGGCTTGCTCGGTTTCCGAGTCTTGACTTCTATTGCGTGATGGGGCTGAAGTCTGCTCTGCACTTGACTTTTGCAAGGTTGCTCTTGGCTTTACGGCGCGGACATCCCATTCGCGAATCGTCCCTGCACCAAGTTCAACGACTTGTTCGAGTAGATATGGCAGCTTTTGCTCGCGGATTGCTTCGACACACTCGGCAATCTGGGTTATGCTGGGGTTGAAAACGGCGAGTAGACCGTTGACGTGCAAGACAGGAGCTACGTTGGGAAGATGGTGAGTTGGATTAGGAAGGTCGAGAAAGACGTGGCTCAGGAAGGGCTGCTGAGTTTTTCTCGTCGTTCTCTGCTTGGAGATCCATTCGGATACGTCTCCAACGTGAAAGTCGACATTTGCCGCATACATGCCGTGACGAAAGCCTTCGACAATCTTCTTTGCGTGCGCAGAATACTTGGGCGATACATCAAGCGTGTGTAGAATGGCGCGCCGACTTTGTTTCCACGACTCTAGATACGAGTGCTGGAGATCACTCACAGACTCGCCGAGATAGACGGCGTCTTCTGGACCGTCTTCGCTGCCACTATGAGCGGGCGCTCTCGGAATTGGGGGATTTGCGGCATGTATGGCTCGCGAAAGATGGAGGGTCAAGGCTCCATGGCCGGTACCAGCTTCGAGTATTTCAAGCGGCGGATCGGTGTTCAGGCCAGTAGAGGGCCTGTCTACGTTGATGTCGAACAGGGAGACGATGAGGTTTGCATCGGAGGGGTAGATCTAGGCGCATTGGCATTGGAGAAACAGATTGGGACTCTTAGAGTGAGGGGCACACACCGGAGTGACAAGACGGGGTGTAAGCCTGACATATTCGGCCAGTGTAGGATCATGGATGCGGTATGAGGCGCCTTTGCTGGATTGGATTATTTGGCGCGGCTGTCTGCCAATTATGTCGGCATGCTGGACGACGCCCAAATGCGTGCCTGTAGACTTAGAGGCTTGCAGCTTGACAAGACGACCATCGTGGGTATCCTTCTTCTCGCGCAAAAGCACCAGGTCGCCTTCTGCGCAATTGTGAGCGGCGTCGGGTCCGAGTGGCCGGAGGTCTTGCCTTTGAATGTGCGACGCAAGCCAGAGCCGCTTGTAAAGTGGCGAGCAGGCGTTTTCAAGGGAAGACGTTGCAGGAGGTGGAGGGGGGAACGTCGCATGGCTTTGTGCAAAAAGAAAGGCGCAGATGCGGCGCGGAGGTGAGGTCTTCTCCGCAATACCACTACTACCAAGCGAGACATGTATTCAGT